AAGCCAGGTATAGTCTGCCTCCTCAGTGGTTAGAGATGGCTTCTCCTCAGGGAGGGGCCATAGCTTGGGTGACGCAGCTTCCTTAGGTAGAGGGCAGTCCCTGAGAGAACCTGGGCTGTGGATGGCTAACACTCACAGCATGCTCTCAGCAGGAGGAGGAACAAGGGCCTCAGGCCAGAAAGAGAGCTGGACTGTGTCCCATCAGGGTCTACCAAAGACAACATTGTTGTCACACCAAATTTACTGCACACCTATCCAAGGATTATTGCTTCTAGGTGAATGACACATAAGAATTAGTCATAAAGGGCAAGTCTTGACATCAAATTCCTGACAATACACCAAACCTATATAATGTGATAAAAGGTTATGTATCATTCACGCTCTTTATACCTATGTGACACAGATAGGTGAGTATCTTATATCTCAGTGCTCCTCAAGTCCCTAAAGTTCCCACAGAGGCAAAAGAGCTCTTTGAACGATTTCCAATACCATTCTAAAAGTAAGATCACACACTAGAATTTTTATTTTTTATTTTCTCATTCTGTCACCCAGGCTTAAGTGATACAATCACAGCTCACCACAGCCCTGACCTCCTGGGCTTAAGCAATCCTCCCACCTAAGCCTCCTGAGTAGCTGGGACTACAGGTGTGTGCCACAATGCCTGACTAATTTTTTGATTTTTTTTGTAGACACAAGGTCTCACTGTGTTGCCCAGACTGTGCTCGAACTCCTGAGCTGAAGGGATCCTCCTGCCTTGGCATCCCAAAGTGCTGGGATTACAGGTATGAACAAACATGGCTGGACTATTCTATCTTTTTATGTTGAAATAACTTCAAACTGACTGCCAAGTTGCAAGAATAGTACCAATACCTCCCATATACCCTTTACTAGGTTCACAAATTAACATCTTGTCATATTCACTTTATAATTTTCTACATAACTACCATACGATAATCAAAATGAGAAAATTAAACATTTATAAAATGCTGTTATCTAACCCACAGTCCATATTTAAATTTTACCAATTTTAAATTTTACCAGTTGTCAGAGTAATGTCCTTAATAGCAATAGTTTTCCCTCCGGTCCAGGATCCAGTTCAAGATAGTATCTTGCATTGTGTGGTTATATGTCCTCAGTCTCCTTCAACCCAGCATGTTTCCTCAGTCTTTCCTTACTTTTGTTATCTTGATGCAACTGAAGATTGCCGGCATCTTTGGGGAAAATAAAATAGAAACAACTATATTAGTTTTCTATATTGCAGTCAATCAATTTTCACATAGCAGCTTAAAACAACACATAATTATTATCTCACAGTTCCTGTAGGTAGAGACTTTGGGCAGTTTAGCTGGATATTCTGTGAGGCTATAATCAAGGTTTTTAAGAAATCAAAACATTATAATATACAGAAAATAAAAAATATAAACAATACATCCAGAAAGTAAGGAAGTGGCCAAAGAATAATGTCCTGTGAAAAGGACACAGGAGCCAGCTTTAAAGGGCTTTCACAGGCCAAATCTGGGACAATTTGAGCATTAGTAATGGATTATAATTCATTGAACAAAATAGGACTTCATGAGCTCATAGAGATATTAACTAAAAGTTTGATGAAAAGGCAATATTGACATTGTCTGAATGTATCTCTCCACAAAATACTATTTACAAAAGGGGAAAAAAGTAAGTGCGCTGGAGAAGCCTGGTGGACACCACTTTCATTAAGTGATTCAAGTTAACATCGCTTGTAGTAGACTAAGGGGTGTGGTAAACCACCTCATAGGATGCAATGAGAACACAGCATCACCGTGGCTGACTTTATCGTGTCCCCCCGAAATCCCTGACTCCTAGTATTCACATCCTCATATAATCCCCTCCTCTTGAGTGTGGGTAGGACCTGTGACTTGCTTCTAATCAATCAAATAAGGCAAAAGTGATGGGATGTCACTCCTGTGATTGTGTTACATTATGTAAGGATCTGTCTTGCTGGCAGACTCACTCTAGAGTCTTGTTTCCCTGCTGACTTCGAAAAAGCGAGAGTCCTACAAATACTAGGCAATAAATTTTGCCAATGACCGGAGTAAGCTTCAAAATGAATCCTTTCCCAGTAGAGCTGGGGAGAGAGACCAACAGCCCCCTCAGCCAGGAGCATGTCTCTGATATGTAAACTAACCAGACCAAATCGTTACCTCTTCTATTTGGCTATACACACAAGACATAATCCTTCTCTGCTTTAGTCATTCCAAGACCAGATTCCAAGCAATTAGAGGACACCTCCATGACTTAGAGCCTATGGAAAATATTCAAACCAGTGAGTCCTAAACAGTTCACCCTGCCCCGCTTTTCCCACGGCCACGTGGCCTGGCTCTCCTCTCACTCCTGCCCCTCTGCCTCCTTTCCCCTGAGGCTCTTTGTGGTGTACTGTGCCTCCTGTCTTTAGGATCTGTGGGTACGGTAAATTGCATTTTCCTGAGCCTCCTCGTATGTCCTTTTGTGACCTCATCTGAATGACCATCTCATAAAAGAACACAGAACACCGGCACAAAATATTCCCGAATTATCTCCCATTCTTCTTGTTTCAGCCCTGCAGTCAGCCATTTCTCCAAAGTCCAAAGTGCCTTGGTTTCTTTCACTGGAGAATCGTATTTAGAAACCAATATCTGGGCACTGTGTGTATTTTACCTATAATGGTATTAACACTCGTGGTAATACTTGTTCTCTTCAGACCAGTTCCCCCAGGTTGGAGGCCACACAGTATAATGGTTAAGAGGCTCTGGATCTAGACTGCCTGAATTAAAATCCTGGCCACCCTGGAAAATCTGTGAGACCTTGGGAAAGGCAGTTAAGCTCTTACAGTTTTATACCCTGTGTGAGAGTGTTTACGATAGCACCTACCTGGAAGGTTGCTGTGGAGCGTAGTAAGATACATGTGTGAAGCTCTTAGACTTATGCCTGGCACTAAGTGATTGCTCAGTAAATATTTGTTGGGTGAATGATCCTTATGTTGATCAGAAGCTCTAACTGAAGAATGAAAATGAGGGGAAAATTCTGCTCCACATCCTTTTAAGACAATAATTAAAATACTTATTTGTCAGGGATCTCATCCTCCTGTGAGACTATCTTCCTTTAAGACTTTAAGAATTCCCTGTAATATTCCCTTTTTAGCTATTTTTGACGTATTGACAACCTAGAAGAAATCCCTGTAAAGTATCACATATGTGATCCTAGAAGAAAAAAAAATGCTTTCCACTTACACTTGTTTATGTTCTTCCTTCTTCTTCATTAAAAAAAATAGTCAGAAAAGAATTCACACAAGGCTGGTGCCAAACCTGGATGTGTCTCTGTGTCCAGGACTTTGATTCCTAAAAACATCAAGTCATTATAGAAGACATCAGGACCATTGAGAAGACAGGAAATCAGAGGGGGAGAAAGTCCAGAAAGACGAGGCCCCGCAATCCTTCTTATTCCCCTGGTATCCTCATGATGGTGAATAAGAACTCTACGAACCTGCACCTGCAAAAGAAGATCCAGGGCAATGTAGGGATTCCACATCCTGAGCTTGCTTTGATAAATCTTCTTGCCAGCTATCCCCAGTTCCTGATTTAGTTCCTCTTAGGGACAGCTATTCTGAAGGGTCTCAGCAGAGAAGCTTATTTGGTTTCTATTGGGCAAGGAATAAATGCATTATAAACATTCCAGATAGTGTTTATGTTTCAAATTGGTTTTTCAGTTGCTTTGCAATTCTTGCTCAGGTTTTCCTCACCTTCTAAGTCTGAAAAAGTAACTTCCAAATCACGGCGAAGGCATTATTGAAATATCAGGACCTTGTAGAATCTTACAGTCATGTGAAACAGGCCAGGCTAACGGTTTAACCTGAAAGTGGAATGGATTTCCCATCAGGGTTCCCATAGTGAACAACTATGTTTTTGTAACTTAACACAATGAAGGGAGTTGTCACTAGATGATTCAGCTGGTTAGAATCTCAACTCCCTTTCTGGGGGGGAAATCTGAAGCATGGTGTCTGTATTAGAGTCTAGGGTCATGCTTATTTGGACTTCGGTTCTACCGCATCAAAGCCAGTCAGAGACTATGAACAGAGAGGGGGAAAGAAGGTCAACTGTCCACCTGGGCCAGAAGAGCAAGCAGTGTAGCCAAACCAAATCTGTCACATTTTTGGGGGTGTCTGTCTTTCTAACACATATGCTGCTCACTTGTTCTCTCTCTCTCTGTCTCTCTGTCTCTCTCTCTCTCTCTCTCACGCGCGCGCGCACACACACACACACACACACGTTTCAACTCTCCACTGCTGTAAAGCTGTTCTTGGTAAAATTCCCTAGGGCAAAATCAACTGTAATTTGAGTTTTCAGCTCACTTAGTATCAGTGGGAAATTTGCCATGTTGGACTTTGACAGCCACAAAAACCAGTCTGACTTGAGAGTGGCGAGGCCATGAGGTCTAGGTGTAGTATGAACTCACCAACTTGGAATGATTTCTTGGAGAATACTCACACCGCCTCTTATTTAGGCTTTGGTCCAAGTCTCTGAGAGTACTGAAGTCACAGAAATGACCAAACAAATGTATAGTAGGAAACTTTTTAATTGAGAACTCAACCACAATAAAATGCTCCTCTGTCACCAGGGATCCCTGGAAAATGGTGTCTAAAAATCAACTCTGAGCAAACCATCCTCAGTTCTTGTCCCTGTAGCATCTTCAACTCCCAACTGATGGAAGTCTCACTGGTCTGAACTTCACATGGTATGAAACAGGAGTGGAGAGTTCCACCCCAACCTTTCTGCAAAAAAGCAAACATATTTTATGTAAGGTCAAAAGGCCATGTGAGGCAGGAGAATAGAGTCTGGAGACAGGGAACCTAAGGCTTTTCACGTCGACTTCCTAGAACTAAATTGCAAGGAAAACCCTAACTTTCCATTACTCAGTAACAAAAGGACCAGAGGCGTGGCAGATGGGAAATTGGCAGTAAGCGACAAATCAGACTGATTGCTGGTACAGTCTTTGTTTGCAACTTAGTAACTTCACTCCAGACTCTGGAGGGTCTGATTGTGGCTCTGATCAGACTGATCATGGGCGGAGTCTTCAGTTTGTATAGAAGTATAACTTTATAACTTCACCCTACCCTCTGGTTGCTTTTTGAAATCAATTAGATGTTTGCAGGGGAGTGTGACCTTTGTAACTTCACTTCATCCTCTGGTTGGCTGCTGTCTGCAGCCAAACAGACTGATTTCAGGCTACCACATCATTTATATGAAGTGAGCATGAAGTAGCCGATGAGAAACTTTCAGGGGGTATTTGGACCCAAGAAGGTTCTGTATTCGGGCCCTTGAGCTGCAGCTTGGGCCCACTTCCACACTGTGGAGTGTACTTTCATTTTCAATAAATCCCTGCTTCTCTTCTTTTGTTGCTTCATCCTTTGCTTTGCTGGGCGTTTTGTCCAATTCTTTTTTCAAAATGCCGAGAACCTGGACAACTTGCAATCGTGACCAGTGACACAGGTAAGGAAATCCTTTTATAAGTTAGACCAGGGTAAAGGAAATGAAAATAGGCTTTATTATTTCTCTCCTCTACTGAATCTAGACAATTCTTTTAAAAACTTTTAATTGCACATATCTCTTGTTTGTTGATAGTTCTATTTTGCTACAATAAAACCAAGTTTGTAGAACAGGAGCTGTAGCTTTAATTTTGAGACATCAGGTTAACCTTGAAATCATTCGTCGAATTAAAGTAGAATCCAAGTGATTAATGTCTCAAAGTTACGTTATTTAGAAATGCCAAAGAAATAGTCCCCAAATCTGATCAACATTGTAGTAAAATCCGCCCAGTGTGTGAAGGAAAGAGCATGGGTATGTGAGTCAGGGAGCCCTGCGTAGGAGGAATCCAGACCTAATTACTCACCAGCCTTGTGACTTTGGCCTGCATGCTTAACCCAGAGGAGCTTCAGTTTCCTCACCTGTAAACAGCTTTTCACAAGGGAGCTGTAAAGTTAAATTACAGCATCAAAGTGACTTGCATGTGCCTACTCTCCTTCCACTCCACACTCCCCTTCCCCTGAATGCACAGAAAGTGGGTACGTATTACCCAGGAACCCTGAACAGTTTTGTCATTCTCCCCAAAGGCAGCTGTGATCTGGGGAAGGAGGCCAGCATGAGAGAACTTGCCACTTTTCCCAGGGAGGACCTGGTGTCTCATCAGACAGAGAGAGGAACTGGAAGTGGCCTGCTACTTCTCCTATTTCACAAAGAACCACTTGGTGAACCAGGTTCAAAAGGTGCAAACACATTAATTCATCAGTTTAAATTTTTTAGGGTTTTTTATTTTAATCAATGATTTTTCTTCTCAACTGAAATGAACCTTGCTGGACTTGTGTAGCCTCATGTATAAAACTAGAAAGTTGGGCACCTACATCAGTGAACTTCAACTCTGCTTGTGCACTGGAGTCATTTGAGGGACTTACTTAAAATGCAGATTCTTGGCCTCACCCATAGACATTGTTTCCCTTGGGCTGAATCAGGGTGTGTCACTTTAGACCATAGACCATTTTCTGTTGAAAGTCAAATGGTCTTTGAAGCCCTCCCCATCTCACATGCCAGGCTCTAATTATTCAACCCAAGGAAATGATACTCAAATCAGAACATGAGAGTCCTTCCCCCTTCAAGTATTTATGCACTAGATGTCCTAGGTGCCCTGGATGCCATCAGCTCACTCATTCAATAGGAAGTCAGACCAGCCCTTCTGGGTAGCTAGCCCTCAGGAAGGGAGACCCAGAGCCACATCTTGAGCTTCAGACCATAGGGCAGGCACCCCAGGAGGTGTCTTGTCTGAAAATGGCAACTGAGACCTGGGAGAGTTCTTGGCTTAATGAGCCATTAGCTGAGCAATGTTGAACTCAAATTACCAGATAGAGATAGGGAATTGGTGATTAATTCTGGTTAAATTGGGCCAACAGAGCTTATTTTTTAGCCCAATAATAATTTGAGCTATAACCTAAAGTGAGGGGAAAGCCAGGAAGCTGTGTGTAAGTTGGTTTTACACTGCTCCCTGCCTCTGCATCTCTTTACTGTGGTTGTCTACCCTGATTATAGTTCCAAATAAAGGACAGCAACTGGCTTCCCTGCCTGGTCCCACACTCACCTTTTCCTGAGAACCACTTCTCCTCCATGTACCTGGTTGCAGGGATGGCTCCCAGCAGCCAAGTTTATGCAGGCCCCACAGGCATGGGCGCCTGGTCCCACAGGCATGGGCACCTGACCCCACAGGCATGGGCACCTGGCCTGGTCTTGTCCAATGCATGTCCCCTCTCTCACAATCTGGACTTGGGATGAATCTCTTGAACTGAGAAAACCATAAACTTCAGAATTGTCAGTAGCCATATTTTTTGTGTGTGAACTGAGAACCAGAGACAATGAGACTGCACTAAGAATAATAAAGTATATGGATAGAAAGAGTCAAAAATGCAAAATGTGGAGTAGGACATTCAGAATTTTCAGACCTTTGTTGCCCTATCCATGAGTTCCATCATCCTATCTGCATCTCCACCTTTGAAGTTTGTAATTAATGCCCCTTTGTTTTAGGTAACTCAACTGGCTTCTGTTACTATAGTCAGAAGGCGCTAATGAGCATGGTTACTATATAGGAATCATTATATTTGTCATGTTCAAATGACTAAGAAACTACAAGGAAGGAGAAACACATGTGGAAAAACACAACTAGGGTGCAGGAGATCTGAGTTCAAATCTTCCTCCTAGAACCCCACAACCAAATAGAATCATAGACTGTTTATGTTAATTCTTAAAAGTAACCCAGTTCCACTGCAAACTAGCTAGATGACCTTGGGAAGAGTTTTTAACCCCTGTGGGATTAACTATAAAATGGCCATAATGATTCCATTCACTCTATTGAGTCCTCTTTCAGCATGAAAATCTATGCTTATATAGCACTTGATATAAGCAAAAGGAGTTTCCCCTGGAATTATTCTTCAAGCCACATTCTGTGCATGAAAACGTTGAAAGAGCTAACCCTAAGAAGCATATACCAGTTGCTTATGTTAATGATAGGTAAAACTGAACATTTTCTAATTTAAATATAGTAAATGTCAAAGTTTTCCCTAACCTTTCTTAAGATGTTTTGACTTTGCTTAAATGCAGATAATCTTAGAACTGAACATATTCAATTTACCTCTTCATCTGAACAAAATTTGGCAAATATTAATTGAGAGCCAACTAAATGCCTGACACTATGCTAGCCACTATGCCCTCAAAGAAGGAAATAGAAGGTCCCTGCTCTCTGAGACTTCAGTGAAGGTGGGGAAGCTAAGGAGGATACACATTTGTGCATCGTGGTCGGATCGGGGCTGCCATGGAGGTGTGGTGTGTGTAAGAACAAAGCGGGAGTCATGAGCAGGCAGAGGGTGGGGTGGTCGGGGGAAGCAGGCAGGGGTGTGATGAAAGGTATCATGGATGAAGTAACAAGTTCAGTCAGGGTAACAAGGCAGGGGTAGGGTAGGCTGGGCAGGAACAGCAGGGCCTTTCTGGCAGTTTTGGCATATCCAAAACATGGGGCTGAGAACCAGCAGCTCATGCTCTGGAACCTGCAGTTCTGTGATGCAGTAAAAACCACTGCTTCCAAGAGTGTCATGGATTAAGGGTGATTCCAGAAGGGATGAAGGAGCTAGAAATGAGTTTTACTATAACTGGGGGAAGTCCAGTATTTTAAAATTTATCGGGAAAGATAACAAAGGAATCCAACATATATTGGAGCGATAGAATCCCAGAAAAGTAAATATAATGAATCACAGATAAAGTAGAGACATCTCCTCTGAGAGAGCGGGCTGATAAAAACAGTAAATAATCATAAGTAACATTTTTTGAGTGACTGCTAAATGCCAGAATCTTCAAGCTTTACACACATTGACTCAGTTCTGCATACCACAACCCTGTGAGGCAGATTCTATTATTTGTCTCAGAGAGGTCCTCTAGTAAGACCTTCTCCTCCCACCTATTTCCCTTTTCTGCTCTTATCACCATCTAATACCCTCTGTATTTTACTTATTATTTTTTATTTGCCTCCCTCTTTCTGATAGAGTGGATACTCCTTAAAGGCAGGAATTTTGTTGTTTGCTTTGCTTACTGCTATATCCCCAGAACTTACAATACATAGTAGGAATCAATAGATGTTGGTGAATGAATGAATTATAGAAATAGAGGTACACGGTACATAATGGTTAATAGCTTGCCCCAAATCAAACAACCAGACATGGTAGGGCCTGGGAGCAATGGTGTGAGAGGCTGGGAGATCTTGAGTTCACAGAGAGGCATAATGAAATTGAGGGTGGGGAGACTGGAGCATCAGCCTGGTTAAAAAGAGGCTTAAATCTCATAGATTCACTTATTTTATTCACCCAACTCTTCAATACTATTTACTGAGCACCTATTATGCACCAGACATGCTCCAGGCACTGGGGAAACAATGGTGGACAAGGCAGAAGGTGTCTGCACTCAGTTGGGAGAGGAGACACCAACAGAAAAGGAAACAAGCAAATACACAGAGTAATTTCAGAGGCTGATAAATTCTGTGATGATAATACAGCAGGGTAACGTGACGGAGCGTAACTGGAGATAGAGGAATATCTTCACCAGATAGGTCTTCAGAGAGGACTTCTTTGACGAAGTCACATATAAGCAGCATCCTGCAGCATGATGTTTCTTTTTTCTGGGGAGGGTTTTATTCCAAGATTTTCAAAAAATCTTTTATTTTTTATTTTAAGATTCTCAAAAACCTTCTAAGAACTACTGATCTAGCCCTGCCCGTTGTCTTATAGATTAGGAAACAGTCCTGGAATGTAAGTGACTGGACTGAGTCCACACAGCTGGAATATAGCAGAGCTGGGGGTCTCACTCCAGGCTTTTTCTTTCCAAGCCCCTCACTCTTCTCCATTCCCTACTGACTTGGAGATGGGGGAAAGAAGACAGAAAGAGATTTAAGCGCTTGAGGGCAAAGCCGTCGTTTTAGTCCATTTTCACACTGCTACGAAGAACTGCCTGAGACTGGGTAATTTATAAAGGAAAGAAGTTTAATTGACTCACAGTTCTGCATGGTTGGGGAAGTCTCAGGAAACTTTCAATTATAGCGGAAGGTGAAGGAGAAGCAAGACACTTTCTTTACAAGGCAGCAGGAAAGAGAAGTGTCGAGAAAAGGGGGAAGAGCTCCTTATAAAACTGTCAGATCTCAAGAGAACTCATTATCACAAGAACAGCCTGGGGGAAACTGCCCCCATGATTTAGTTCCCTCCCCCTAGTCTCTCACTTGACATGTGGGGATTATGGGGATTACAATTCAAGATGAGATTTGGGTGGGGACACAAAGCCTAACCATATCAGTTTAAGAATCAGTTCCCCCCGCCCCCCCCACGTTTTGGCCCCAGGTGGGATAGATAAGCAGAGAGTGGGGTTGCAATGATTACACTTCAACAAAGCATTCTGTCATTCACCCATAGGGCCCAGGCTCTGTCACCAGTGGAATCCTGTCTCCAAGCCGTCAGGCTGAACACACGTTCCCTGTTTAAACACACGTGCCCAGCCCCTCCTTCTGCAAGGTAACCACATAGAAAGTTAGTCTAACACCCCTTATCTGCCCTGTGTGGGGAGCCTGTGGAAGCTGGTCTCAGGATCTGGCTGGGTAAACCATCTGTTTACTTCTGTGTGGGTTTTGACAGTCCTAGTCAGTTCTGTTTCTCTGAACCTTGTTTCTCCACTCTGCTTGCCAAGTCCCTTTCTCTTACTTTTTTTTCCCCCTCCTTCCTTTCCTCCCTCCCTCCCTCCCTCCTTCCTTCTTTCTTTCCTCCCTCCCTCCCTCCCTTTCTTCCTTCCTCCCTTCCTCCCTCCCTCTTTCCTTTCCTCCCTCCCTCCCTCTCTTCTTTCCTTCCTCCTTTCCTCTTTCCCTCTCTCTCATTCTCTTCCTCCCCCTCTTTTCTTCCTCTTTTTACTTTTGTCCCATGCTTTAAGCCTTCCTTGGCCCTTCCTGGCATTGCTTTTCCTGACAGCAACACTCAATAATTTTTAAAAAGCATCTGAGCCCTTTGTGCTGACTGATGCCACCTTTGTTGTGCAGATTTGTTTTAAGGGCAGATATCCAGGGAGGCTGAGCACTGAAATCCGTCCTCCAGAGCTTGCTGTAGGCAGAGTAAAGAAGTTTGCTCTGTAGTTTCCCCAACAGCCTCCTCAAATCCATGGGTGATGTCTCAGACACCTTGTATTTAATAGACAAGGAAATGAGCTCAGGATATTTGCCCCAGGTTGTAAATTAAATCAGCGCAAAGGTAGAAATGAACACAGAGCTCTCAGACTGGAAGCTGTCCAAACAGCTGCATGGAGCAGGGGCACAGCCCACTGTCTTTCAAAGCCTCAACCAGGGCTGTCGCATCTCTGACACTTGGCAGTTACTGGAAAGTCATGTTAGGCTTTCCTGTTGATTCTTTATCCTGTGGAGGAGTTGCACAGTCAATGCCTTGTTCAAGATTAATCATTTTCCCTGTTGCCTATAACTGAGGCTGTTTCTCACGTCCTGCCCCTGGTTTTGCCTGTCCCAAGGATTTCGTCTGAAGGGCGGGACATTCCCCCTGCCTCTTCGCACCACAGCCAGAGCCTGCCATTAGGACCAATGAAAGCAAAGTACCTCATCCACTCAGTGACTAAGAATCGCAGTATTTAAGAGGTAGCAGGAATGGGCTGAGAGTGGTGTTTGTTTCTCCACCAGAAGGGCACACTTTCATCTAAATTGGGGTATCACTGAGCTGAAGACAAAGAGAAAGGGGAGAAAACCTAGCAGACCACCATGTGCTACGGGAAGTGTGCACGATGCATCGGACATTCTCTGGTGGGGCTCGCCCTCCTGTGCATTATAGCTAATATTTTGCTTTACTTTCCCAATGGGGAAACAAAGTATGCCTCTGAAAACCACCTCAGCCGCTTCGTGTGGTTCTTTTCTGGCATCGTAGGAGGGGGCCTGCTGGTAAGTCATTCAGGATTATTACTGAATTCTCTCCTGTTTCCTAGATGTTTTCATTATGTATTTTCATGGAAAGTTTTTTGTAATGTATATTTCCAAATCAAGGGACTTTTTTGTTGTTCATTCCTTTGAAAGCAGATTATACAAAAGCGAGGTAAGTACAGTATAGCCTAGTAATTTTATTAGATGTTGTTTTACAAAACCCTCTTTCAACTAAAAGTGAATTGCCTTTTTGCTAAACTCTTTGGGTAGGAAACAGATATTCGCTCTTAAATCAGATCTGAGAGACTGTAGAGTTTCTGCTAGAGCGGGTAGTCATTTAACATTTGGTCTGGGGAGCCGGGAGGGGTTGGCTGGTTCTCTGCCTAAATCAACAGTTTTGAATCCAAATTCTCTGCTGTTTCTTTTCAGCCATCTGTGATAGGGAAAAATAATGCATTGTGAGTGCACTGCTATTTTAAAAGAACTCTAAGCTTTCTCCTTTATGTAAGGCTGGGGTGTGGCATCTTGGAAAAACCCTACAGTTAGCAGCAGGTCGGTGTCTGAAGCTAACAGTGGAATGTGTTGTTTTTTCCAAGATTTGTTTTTGATTGAAGTGAAAGGAAATTCCCTGCCAACCTGGGAGCTGAAAGCATTAGCTTCAACTACAGCATGGAAAGAATGTGAACAAACTTAAGTTTGCTACTTTCAAGTACTGGGATTAAAAATTTTAAAGAGAAATTTTATGAAATGGTACCATACATGATACATTTTCTTAATCAAGTAAAAGATACTAAAACGTTTAAACCTAATACACTGATTATGGCATGGCAAATCTGCCCTAAATTATCTATTTAATGAGATGGTATTTAATTTGATTTTATTTAATGAGATGGGATTTCACCATGTTGCCCAGGCTGGTCTTGAACTCATGGGCCCTAGTGATCCTCCTACCTTGGCCTCCCAAAGTGCTGGGATTACAGGCATGAGCCACCATGCCCGTCTGCCTCAGATTTAAGCATTATTATCTTGTTAACATGATTATTTGTCTTAAACATAACATCACACTTAAGTTTCTTTCGATCTTGAACCTGAAGTATTTCATGCTTACTTTATCTTAAGAGCTTAATAATGTTAAGTTAAAACTATGCATTTGTATAATCAAGGAAGCAGTTCATATTTATTATATATAGCTTTCATGTCTCCCATTTACAAAAAAAGTTTCAGTTATTCTACTAAAGATTTGTTGGTATCTTCTGCATTTTACAAGGGGAAAAAATCAGATTAAAAAAAAAGGGTTTACTATTTCCAAAACAGAATTTGTATCTGGGACTGTATGACAAACTCTTGTGGAATAAACACATTTATAGTTTATTATTTTAGTCCTCCCACGTTACACCCTCACCTAAAAAATGCTTTGACAGATTACTTGAAAACAAGCAGATATGACATTTAGATGGTTTTTTTTTCTCCTTAGAGGCTTACATTCTTTGAGCTACTTGGTCAACCTAATCAAAGCCAGTTAACATAATTAGAAATAAATATATTTTACCAAGAGATGCCTAACCTGACCCATATGAGCCTGGGCAAGTCAATGACTTGACTTTGTTTCCTAACCAGATGCTCCTGCCAGCATTTGTCTTCATTGGGCTGGAACAGGATGACTGCTGTGGCTGCTGTGGCCATGAAAACTGTGGCAAACGATGTGCGGTAGGTCCTCCTGCCTTGGTGGTGAAAATGACTCCTAAGCTGTAGCTGTGGCACTCCATGGCTCACTTCCTGTGTTTCTCCTTTTCCCTAGATGCTTTCTTCTGTACTAGCTGCTCTCATTGGAATTGCAGGATCTGGCTACTGTGTCATTGTGGCAGCCCTCGGCTTGGCAGAAGGACCACTATGTCTTGATTCCTTCGGCCAGTGGAACTACACCTTTGCCAGCACCGAGGGCCAGTATGTAATTATTCTCTACATGGCTACACATTTTTATCCACCACATATATATAGTGGCAGCTCCATCAAACCAGATAGGCATCCACTTATCCATCCATCCACTCACCTAGCCACTGTTTATCCTCACTGACTCAGGCATGGTTTAGGCAATAGGTATCCAAGGATGGATGCCCAGTCCCTGACCTAAACAAGTTCTAAATGCTTCTTTCCTTTTCTTTTCTTTTCTTTTCTTTTCCTTCCTTCCTTCCTTCCTTCCTTCCTTCCTTCCTTCCTTCCTTCCTTCCTTCCTTCCTTCCTTTCTTTCTTTCTTTCTTTCTTTCTTTCTTTCTTTCTTTCTTTCTTTCTTTTCCTTCTTTCCTTCTTTCCTTCTTTCCTTCTTTCTTTCTTTCTTTCTTTCTTTCTTTCTTTCTTTCTTTCTTTCCAACAACAACAACAACAACAACAACAACAACAACAACTTTTCATGCGCCATTTGGCACCATTTAACAGCTACAACAACAACAACAACAACAACAACAACAACAACAACAACAACCTTTACATGCCATTCAACCTTCAGCCTTCCTTCTTCCTTCTTCTTCTTTCCTTCCTTCCTTCCCTTCCTTCCTTCTGCCTTCTTCCTTCCTCTTCCTTCCTTCCTTCCTTCCTTCCTTCCTTCCTTCCTTCCTTCCTTTCTTTTTTTTTTTTTCCAGAGACAGGGTCTTGATCTGTCACCCAGGCTAAAAATGCAGTGGCACAATCATAGATTACTGCAGCCTCTAACTCCTGAGCTCAAGCAATATTCCTTCCTCAGCTTCCCAAATACAAAGTGCTTTTGAATAGAATCAGTAATTCAGTCCTCATAATAACCCTATGAAGTGACTTCCTATTTTAAAGATGAGGAAACGAAATCCCAGAGAGATGAAGTAACTCTTCCAAGGTCACGTTGACAGAAAGTGGCGGTTAGCATTTGAACTCAGGCAGTCTAGATGTAGAGTTTGTGTTCACACAGTGCACCTCAATTACTTCATACATTATACCAGAACAATTGGCTGATTACGTGTAATACATTTTACTATTTTATAAGAAAGTATTATAGAATCCATATATAATAAGAATGGTAACAATATGAATTTAACCCAAACCCAGGGCAAATCATGCCCTTACCCCTATACACACATAGACTCATATAAAACATATGAACAATGCTCCCTTTTTTAGTTACTAAGCTATATAAGTAAGGCCTATTCACAATTGTAATACCAAGATAATTGGTGCTGTTCCGCCATTCTATGTTGATACTAATTTTTTCTATCAGTTATCAAGAACAGAAACAGCACAGCTGATAGAAATGGATGTATGTGGTGATGAATGAATGACATGTTTCTTTGAGCAGGAGTTGATTCTGAGTTTACCTTTTCCCTACTCAACTTTCTGAAGTGAATTTTGAAAGGTTTAGTTTTGAGATTCATGATTAAAAATAATATTAATAAGGAATTATATTATCAAGAGTGTTTGTCCCCATGAATTTAAAGGATGTAGTGAGGATATACGAATCTCATAAATTTAGCATAGTTATGAGATCATGAATTTGAATTACCTGGGTTCAATCCCAGCTCTGCACTTAACTACAGGAAAAGGTAAACTGAGCTCTCTGCATCTCAGTTACTCCACTGGTAAAATAAAATCAATTGCGATTGTCATGAGAATTAATGAAATAATATGTAAAATGTTCCCCACAGAGGCTGCCACATCGTGAGCAACTGCCACTGTTAACTGTTAGTATTATCTACTACCTTGAACAATAAACATAATCCAATGGTAGCCTTTGAAGGAAAATTGATACTTACAGAAGTTTGAAATTTTGGTGTTCAAAACTGTGATCAATCATGACTCAGCTTTTATCAGAATATACTAGATGTACTAGTAGAAAATGGCTATTCACATACGTACAAAC